TTTTTTGAAATACAATCTCATTAGATAGCCCATACTGGCCCTCTACCTCTTTGTCCTCTTGCCTCAGTTTCCCAATTGCTGGGATTACTGGCTGGTGCCGGCATACCAGCTTTAGATTTTATTCTCTATTCTGTATATAATAAAGTATTTTGCTCTTTTCAATTGAAGAGCTACTTTTCCCAGTAGCATTTATTGAATGAACTACCCCTTCACCACTGAGGAGAGAGATTCCACCCTGGGAACTCTTCATTTCTTCCTGTTGTTATTGTTGTTGTCTATGTCTGATTGTAATAAAGATAGTTCCTAAAACTTCAGCGAGAGCACAGAAGACAACAGTTGCATTTGTAGAGATCGTGTTCCCATTAGAATATTTAAATATATGTAAAACAACCTGAATTATAAGTAACAGTTAATTTTAGGGAATTTTACTGATACATTAGGAACCAATTCTGCTTAGGAGGCTGGGACTACTTTATTTGAAAAATTCATCTAGTCAGACGAAGGTCAAACAAGCCTCACAATAGCAAGGTTATTGTGCTTGGCTTATATTGCCATGGCACCCCCTGATTGTGACCCTCCAGAAAAGTATCCCCCAAATGCCTATGGAAGTGGAAAGCATTCTGTTGAGTCCTGTACATACTCACAGTCTCTAGTCACCCACTCAAATATGCCTGCTGATGTTGTTTCTTTCCCCACCCCCACCTCCAGTCTTGGGACTCTGGCTATATATTTTTTTCTGTTTTGTATTGTTGCTGGCTTTCTTTATTTTCTTGAAAGACTCTCATGTGTCATAGCTCAACTTCAGAATCAATTTATAGCCAAAGAGGACCTTGAACTCTGCCCCTCCTGCCTCTACCTTCTGAGTGCTGGAACTGCAGGCATATGCCACCATATCCAGTTTCTGCGCTGCTGGGGACAGAACCCAGGGCTTTGAGTATGCTGGGCAAGCAATGCACTAACCAGGCCTCTGATCCAGCCCTTTTACTTTGTGCTGACAGTGCCACCAACCAGCAGACAAGAACACATTGTCAGCGAGGCCAGATTCAAGCCTGCTCCTTGTTGGCAGGGTTAGTGCAGGGTGTGATGAAGAAAGGAAGCAGATGGGGTTTCCTTTGTCTTAGGACTGGGGGAATGGCTACATGGCGGAGCCCTCACCAGCATGCATAAAGCCTGGCATTGCATCCCTAGCGATACAAACACATCTTTTTTTCTTGGAGATGCCGTGCTGAGGATAGGGGACAGGGCCTCCTCCATCTGTAACCATGCACTCAGCTATACCTCAGCCCTGACTTAGGAAATTTCTGCTTCAAAGGAGATTCATAAAGTTTTCAGAGTTGTTTTTTGTCTGTATAGTTTCGTTTTGATTTTTTTTTTAAGACGAGGTGTTACTATATATAGTAACACCCTAACAGGCTTGTTGCTCACCATGTAGCCCAGGTGGAGCTAAGTGGAACTCACAGTGTCCTCCTGCCTCCGCCTCCCTAGTGCTTTCTGGGACTATAGGTGTGTGCCCTTTCTCCAGCTGGTGGTTTTCTTTTGCTAACTATCACAGTGGCTATAACTGAGGATCGACTGGGAGTCACAAAATGAATCAGTTTTAACTCCATGCCCCCTGGGATGAGGAAAAATGGAAATTACTGTCTCCTTGGATGAGTTTCTCTCTCTCTCTCTCTCTCTGAAAATACATGAACATTGCTTCACCAGTCTCCAGACATGTGGCTTCAGCAGACAGAGAATATCTCCTTCCACTACCCCAATCCCCAACCACCTCCAGACGCACAAATGGATTTTGTTCATAGACAGGTGACAGGAATGTAATCCGGAAATGAATTTCTTTGTTAAGGACGTTGAGCTCTCTGCATGAATAGGAATGCGAGGCTTCTGGTAAGCTTCTCTGGTTCAAAGCCACTTTCTATTACATTAAATGATTGATATCCTTTGGAGGTCAAAGGGCGCCGAGGGGAGCACAGCTTTCCTGTAAATGCCAGCCCTCGGGAGACATACTGAGCTACACGAGAAGATCGGGGCCAGCCTGGGCTATAAGCCCAGGCTATGTCTCAAAATAAGATAAAGTAAAAATTAAAAAAAAGAGTCAATTGACATAAGTAGTTCAACCCCAACCCAAATCTAGTCATAGTTCTGACTCACTTCCTGTGTATCTTTAAGATGTATACGGCTTTCTCCAGGCCGGATGGCAGATGCTCTGAAGATGTTAAATGAAGCTGCAGACATCTTGTCCAGTTCTCTAAGAGCCAGAGAGAATGTTGGGAGCAATGAAGACAAGAACAGGGAGCTATTTTTAGTTTCAAGGGGGAAGAAAGTTTGCTGTCAGCGAATAACATACCTAGAGACCAAAGACTTCCTTTCCCCTCCAAATTATGTCTTTCCTAAGACAGTTTTTCTTTGAATTTGCAGGCTTATCTTGATTTGTGTCACTTTGTTCATACTATATATCAAGGTGGGGGTGAGACAGCGGCCATGAAGACTGCTCAGAAAATGAAATGAATGGCACCTGTTTAACCTCACTTTTTGTCGGGGTTCATATCAAAACAAAGCAAAAGGACACTTTTGTTCTCTGGCAGATGCATGTCCAGACTGAGCATTATATGTTACTAAACTCTAGTCACTTGACTGAATGTTTACCAGCAGCCCCTCACTTTCTGCCTCTCAACGGTAGGAATTGTTTGCATGAATTTAACCCCCCCCTCCGAAGTCCTCTTAGAAAACGTTGACTGTTCCGTAAAGCCATAACTTGCAGAGTCTTTCAAAGGGTCAGTTATGGGACCAGGGACGTAGCTTGGTGGAGTGCTTGCTTAGCATGCAAGGCACAATGTGTTTGTCTCTGGTGTAGCATAGGCTGAGCAAGGTGGTACACAGCTGCAATCCCAACACTAGGAAGGTGGAGGAGGGGGGGATCAGAAGTTCAAGGTCACCCTTAGCTACCTAGTATGCTCAAGGAATACTGGAGGCCCTGTCTCAAGAAAATAAACAAAAATATTAACTATCCCAATGACTTAGGGATGCGTGAAAGGTTACCTCTCTTATAAGTGGGTCATGTGATGACAATGGTGTTGATCATTCTAGAACCCCAGATTGTAGAGTTTAACATTACATGCGGTGATTAGGCATTGATTGCCTTGGTTTCCTAATATTCTACATAGGAAACTGATCATGGAAGGCAGATCTGTTTACACTACAGCCAACTCTTTAGCTAGAGAAGAACTAATTTTATCCATACTCTACCTGTGGAAAGCCATGATATACAGACCAAAACATGAGAGCTGAAACATGGTAAGGGGTCCTTTCATGTGATGGTTGGGGGCCTAGGTCCCAGGTTGCCTCCATTTTGTGTTAGAGACCATCTGTTGTTCAAGTTCCAGGCAAAGAAAATGGGTCATTGAGAGCCGCCTTACTTTTCCTTTTTCTTTCCCCCTGTTGCTGTTAGTGTTATTTTGAGGTAGGCTTTTGTTATACAGACCTGGCCACTCTCAACTTGCAGTATAGACTACAAGAGCCTTGAATTTGTGGTCATCTTTCAGCTGTAAGGACTGCAGCCATGCACCACCGTGCCTGGTCTTTGTGTCTTTGCTTTGGAGACCATCTTCAGCTCTGATGCCTGTCTACATGCTGGCTGAACACACTAATTACTAAGTGCGAAGAGCGGGGCAGAGGGGAGACAGTCTAAGAGCAGAAGGGAGGGGCACAGCATCTGCCGTCAGCATCTCTCCTCCAACACCGGGGATTACAGTTGTAGTATTATGTATCCATCGTCCTCCCCAGTGGGTGACAACCGTCCAGCAGGCTTTCAAACTAGATAAAGAACAACTACTCTCCAAACATACAAACCGGGGTACAGACTCCTTTGAAGTTGGCCTCCAAACTCTCAAGTGGCCACTGTCAAAAAGCAAAACAGTGGGGTTTAACCATGATTCAGGAGAAACTGGAGAGCTGGGGACAGGAAGACGTTAATGCAACTAAGGCAGGAAAAGAACTTTTCAGAATGGCTGCCCTTCGGGCCACTCTCGTGTGGACATCATCAGCTGTTCGGAGAGAGGTGAAGAGGCGTGCACACCTTTCCCATTAGTTTCATATCTACTGTGTACAGTACCTGGCGCTTTCCACCCTGGGAGGAGATGGTATTTATCAGGTTTATCTAGATGCAGGTGGGGGAAAACCCAGCAACTACCCATTTGTAGTACAAAATGGAAATTTCCTTTCTCTTTCGTGCTATCATTTTTTTCTATCCTTAAAGCTCTATATGTAAAAGAAAACAATATTTTCTCAACAACCAGATGGTATTTTTTGTTTTTAAATACAGACTCTCACCGTTTAGCTCAAGCTGGCCTCAAAACTCCTGATCCTCCTGCCTCTACCTCCTGGGTACTGGCATTGCAGGTGTACAACATCACACTAGGCGGTCTTAGACTTTAACAGGCAGAATGAATAATTTTTTTAAAAAACTAAACTTCCTCTACTTTCTACCCTTGACACCTAGAAGTTATTATACTTAGTTATTCAAACCTGAAGAAGCCTTCCTTTCCTTCTTTCAGTGGGTAAACTTGAAATTTCACAAGCACATGCCTACTGGAAAATACTATCTTCCCCTGTACTTCTTTCTTCCTTTCTTCCTTCCTTCCTTTCTTTCCTTCCTTTCTTCCTTCCTTCCTTTCTTTCCTTCCTTTCTTCCTTCCTTCCTTCCTTTCTTCCTTTCTTCCTTCCTTCCTTTCTTTCTTTCTTCCTTCCTTTCTTCGTTCTTTTTCTTTCCTTCGTTTCTTTCTTTTCTTCATTTCTTTCTTTCTTTCCATCTGTCTGTCTGTCTTTCCAGTATTTTAGGGTACCAATGTGATGTGTGATAGTTTCTTTTGGGTGAGTAACTTCTTGCTTGTGTGACATCAGAAGACAGACATTGAGAAAGCCCAGGGATTTCCCCTGCATATTCACTAACTGCTTGAAGTGGCGATTTCCACTCTGACTTGGTGTTTGGTTTTGTTAAACTGCAGCATACTGGAGGAGCATGAAAGAATCTGTGTAGAAGTTTCAGAAGTAGGGTTCCTATAGACCCTGAGCAAACCAGAGTGGACTCCAGCCTGCGCAAATGAGCTTGAAACAGGAGTGGTTTGGGGTAAGTCATTCCAAAGGACTTGGCATTTGCATGTTTTTAGTTTCGTGTGGCAGTATTTATTTGGTGTGCTGGGATATTTTAGTGAGTAAGGTGCGCAGCCATTTCCCCCATAGGTCAAAATGTTGACATACCTAAAAATGTTGTTTTTATGAGACAGAGCCAAGAAAGTAGCCAGATTAGCTTAATATGTTTATTTCTAAACTTTGCAGGATAGTAAGACTTCAGGGGAAGGCATTTTGTCATTAGGGAAAATGAAACAAGGTAATAAAAAAAACAAAACAATAGTAGCAGCAAAACCACAAATGTCCACACAATGAATAGTCTGTGTGGTTCATGGGTTCCATTTAGCTGAATGCGTAAGGGATTCATGACTCAGACATAGGAGATCTAGGTATTTGGTGATACTCTTAATCTGTAATCAGCATTGGAGCAGACAAGGTGGAGTTGCTGGGAGTTTCCAGATCATTTTCAACAAAAGCTTATTGAGTAATTTTTAAAAATGTGGCACAGTGTAGTCATTTGAAAGAAATATATATTGTGTAAAGTACAATCAGGATAATTAGTATTGTCTTCAAAAACTCTGGTCGGTTTTCATGTTGGCAACCTTTGCCAGATCTCTCTAGAATTTATAATAAGCTGTTGTGGGATACAGTGACCCTCCTGATAGACCTTAGTCCTTCTGTTTATTGGTGGTCTTGGTCCCCCAAGTGACAAGCTTGTTCTAAGAGTTACAGCCCAAACATTCCACACTTTAAATACATGGTTTAAAAAACACAAATTATATTCTAAACTAATACAGCTTTCTCGGGATGCTTTCTTGTCTTGATTAATGGTATTTCCTGGAAACAATCCTCAAATGCAAGTCCTGTTCATCCTCACTTGTGGTCAAGGGCATCGGGAGAACGTACCGCTTGCTATGATTGCCTTGTAGAAGTGTATGTGCCAGCATGATTTCCCTGGACTCCTGCAAATTGAAAGCTCAATCTAGTACCATTAAATAATCAGTAGTCTTCAGTTCTCTTCAGTGGAATTTACTGTGTGCCTGGGGCAAACTATCATTTGCAGGGAGTGAGGGAGGTCATTTGACTAGCCAGTGTAGAAGAAAAGGTCCAGCCCCTGGGGGACTCTTATCTCCATTGTCTTTTGGTGAAGCAGGACTTCCAGATTCTGTAGTTAATAATTTAATTCCCTTGCGACATTAATAAAGGAGTGTTTCATGAATTTTATATTAAAATAAAGCAAGACTAGGTTCTTTTAAATTCTTGTCTTTTTTTTTTTTTATCCCTGCCGAGGCCCTAGATTGTTATCTCTGTGTAACAGACTGAGGGCAAGATCCTTCACGCCGTGGAGCCCCAAACTTTGTTTTCCATTGAGAAGAATGTATTGGCTTTCTTTCTTACTAAACACGGCCTTCCTGAAGCTAAGCTGTGCACAGCAGTTTAAATGATGGTCACATGTCACTCTCGTTAGCAGCTGTCTGCCTCAGAGCAAGTGGCACAGTATTTGGGTTTCAGAGCATCGTTTTCTCTCTCGAACAAATGTTAAGATATGAGATGCAGGAAACCACATGAATTCAGCGGAGTAACATTGCAAACTCGGTGTGATCTAAGGATGCTAGGCTGTGAGTGTTCCAGAGAGCGTGTGGCCTTCCTGTCTGCTGGGGTACGCTAGCCCCTATCTCTTTCCGCATGTGTCTACTGTGTGTATGGGCCATGGTGTGTCACAAACCCGCTGAAGACATAGCTGGGGACTCTCTATAGACAGAACTTGCCAATCAGAAATCCAAGCTCTCTTCATAAGTTCTCAGTATACCTACCCTCTTGAGGAGTGTCTTTGGCACTTATTAGGTGCTACATTAGAACTATGTGGTGTTTGCTGTCACCCCACTTGGGTTTCTGACTTCTGCTATAGGACAAGACCCAGATCATACTCCAATGTTTCTCAATGGTGGTCTCATCTCAGGGCCTCCTGCATCCGATTCACCAGGATGTGGTTGTCATAGACACAGTACCACCAGGCCTAAGGAATCAAAGTCTCTGGAAGATGCGGAGCTCAGAAGGCTCATCCCACTTCTTTGCCCACTGCAGTTTAGAACAACTGTCTAGAGACTAACTGTGAACATTGTCCTTGGCCTCTTGTCCACAGCAAAGGGTACAGGATCTGAGTATGAGGAAGGTTCCCAGGAAATGCTCTCTTATCTATGTAGGCAGCAACCATCATGAGATCTCACGTTTACTTTGATTGCCTTACCTTTGGGGGATGGAAAGTCATCATTGTCTATGAACTCTCAGAACCCAGTTCCAGCTAAACATACAAAGTGCCCTCTTATCCGGGCCAGAGCCTCTTCAATGTTTCTTTCCTCCGTCCCTTGAAATGGCAACAGCTTTGACTGAGGTCTGATACAGGGGACATCAGCTTTGTGCTGGGTAGCTGGAGGAAAGCCACAAAAGACCAGCCAGTTCCCAAGGCCACATGAGCTGCCCTTGGCGGTTTATCCCAAGTGCCATTTCTTTCAGCTGTTGGAACTTGCAAGTGGTCAGTTTGGGTGGCGGGAGAGGCACCCTGTCACTGGAAAGGACAAAGTTAAGCCTTACTGGCCACACATCAAAGCTCCACAGGGCTAGCAGCAGACTCGGCAGACTCTGGGTTTGAATCGCATGTTAACAGATTGCTGGGGTGACATTTGACTCCTCTGCCCCTCCTCCACTTGCTCTACCCCCCATTCTACAACCAAGGGGGCAGTCAACCTGACTTGGCTTGATTCCAAAGAAATCTATGATATCCATGCTTCTGGCAGAACTCCCCAGCAGTCTGCATGCAGCCCTGGTGGGTAGATCTAACAGAAGAACATGTATTAGTCTCCTTATTCTAGGAAGGGATGAGTGGGGCCATCAGGATGAATGTATCTGTTGAGATAACCATTGCTGAGCAGGTATAGAGAAAAGCAAACTCTGTTTCTCCTACCATCTGTTACAATACAGAACACATCTGTGAGGAATACACGGATAAGATCCTGGAGGTGAAGGCTCAGTCCTGTAGTGAGGTTTAAGTCACAGTGGGTTATTTAATTGGTGCTGCTGGCCCACCAGATGTAAGGTGTGTGTGTGTGTGTGTGGTGGGGGTGTTCCTTGGACCTCCTGCCTGGGTTTGAATGGATTTACTAGACTGACACAGAATTCAAGCAAATACTTCTTTACAGCTATAGCTCTACTGTATGCCACTGCTGAGTCATACTGACATGTTCCAAGTGGCGTTGCAAAGGATACAGGCGGAGAGCAGGACAAAGAGCTGTGTGGGGTCAGGTGAAAGAGTGAAGGGCAGAGTCAGTGTTCTCTGGGCATGCTAATCTTCAGGATCCTCCTCACATCTTAATGCTCCACAGACTCCGCCTCTTTGAGTTTTAGGGAAGCCTTACTGCGTAAGCATGCTCGGTAAACTCACTGGCATCAGATGGTCAACTGAATCTTCACCGTCTCCTCCTCCCAGAGAGTGGGGGAGAGGCTAACTGACCTAACCCTCAAGTCTCGCCTCTGTGCTCTTTACTGTAGCTGTGGGATGTCTAGGATCAGTCAGTTAATTCCAGAATCAAAGGAGACTTAGTACTTCCAAGAATTTTAAAAGTTGTAAGCCAGGAAATGGATATAAACAGTAAATATATATTTCACAATATCATAATGACCAAATGCATCTATCATCTATCTATCTATCTATCTATCTATCTATCTATCTATCTATCTATC